ACCACAGGGCACACCCAGGGTGGGGCAAGTTGGTGCTGTACCAGCCAGGTGGGGTGCAAGGCCATGGAAGCCTAAGGCCCTCTCCGTGCCCCCAGCCAGCCATGGCTCCCAAGCGCAAGCCCCCCGCGCAGTGTGAGGGCCCTGACAAGAAGAAGGGACGGCAGGGGACAGAGGAGGACAACTTCCGCTCCACTGCGGAGGCCCTCAAGGCCGCGCCCACAGAGAAGCGCACTGTCCGCGTGGACCCCTCGTGTCCTCTCAGCCGCAAGCCTGGGGCCCAGGTAAGCAGTAGCCCCCAGCCAGGCCCGGAGCCTGCCCTCCTGGGTCAAGTACACTCAGACCTGCTCCCCTCCCCACTGGGCTGGGCTCTGGCCACGGAGCTCAAGGGTCCCAAGTCAGCCTCGTCTCCAAGACCCTAAAGGTCAGACAGGACCACATCTCATCAGACCTGGGGAGCTCCTGTCTGCTCTTTTAAAAATTTATTTTTAATGTGTTTTTACTGATTTCAGAGAGGAAGGGAGAGGGAGGGAGATAGAAACATCAATAATGAGAATCATTGATCGGCTGCCTCCTGCATGCCCCACACTGGGGATTGAGCCCACAACCTGGGCATGTGCCCTGACCGGGAATCGAACCCTGACCTACTGGTTCATAGGTCCACACTCAATCACTGAGCCATGCCTGCTGGCAGGGCTCCTGTCTGCTCTTTAGACCGCAGGACAGGCCCTGGGCTTCTTAGGCCACCCCCTACCACACTTAAAGCCGGCTCACCTGTGTCCCTTCAGACCAGCCCACAGTGGAGGGCTGTGTCCCCCTGAGATCCTCCCTGGCCAGAGCCTGTCTCCCTCAGTCCCCGCCCCAGAGCACAGCTGCATCCTGTTCTCCCAGAACCTCCCCCACTTCCCGAGGTGAGCCATGTCCCCTCAGACTCCAGGGGGCAGAACTATGACCCCCTCAAGCCTCCCCAGCCAGGGCCTCCTCTGCCGCCCGGTGCAGTCAGACCCCTGTGAGGTGCAGCCGCCCATGCCAGCCTGCCCTGCCCTGCCCCCTGGCCCAGGTGCATGGGGACTACGACTGCACCCTGAACCAGACCAACATCGGGAACAACAACAACAAGTTCTACATCATCCAGCTACTGGAGGACGGCGGGCGCTTCGCCTGCTGGAACCGCTGGGGCCGCGTGGTGAGTGCCCGCCAGATCCCACCTCCCCCACCTCTCCCAGCTCAGCACAGGCCCCAGCTGCCCAGGGTCCCACCGAAAACTCAGGCCCGAGGCCACAGATGCTGACCATCCCAGGCTCCCAGCACAGGGCCTGGCACCGCAGGCTAGCAAGTGCTATGGAGGCAGTGCGGTGGGCACCCCTGAAGGCTGTCAATTGCAGGGAGAGGTGGGCCAGTCCAAGCTCAGCTACTTCCCGTCCCTGGAGGATGCAAAGAAGGACTTCGAGAAGAAATTTAAGGACAAGACCAAGAACAGCTGGGCGGAGCGGGAGCACTTCGTGGCCCAGCCCGGCAAGTACACCCTCATCGAAGTGCAAGGCGAGGATGAGGCCCAGGAGGCTGTGGTGAAGGTGAAGTGGCCGCCAGGGGAGTGGGCGGGCCCAGGGCTGAGGGAGGGGACACGCGACCCAGTACCCTGGGCTTTGCCACTGCCCGCTGTGCAAGCTCAGGCCAGACCTGCCTCTCACCTCGGCCTGGCCCTGCCCAGGTGCAGTCCCTCTGCACCCAGGTGGACGGAGGCACCGTGAGGACCGTGGTTCAGCGGGTGCGGCCCTGCTCCCTGGACGCACCCACACAGAAGCTCATCACCAACATCTTCAGCAAGGACATGTTCAGTGACGCCATGGCCCTCATGAACCTGGGTGAGGACCCCGGGGCCAGGCCGGGGGGCAGGGCCTGGGGGTGGCAGCGGGCTGAGCCTTCCCACTCCCTCCACCCCCCAGATGTGAAGAAGATGCCCCTGGGGAAGTTGAGCAAGCAGCAGATAGCTCGGGGCTTCGAGGCCCTGGAGGCCCTGGAGGCGGCCCTGAAAGGCCAGGAGGACGTGGCCGGTGGCCGCAGCCTGGAGGACCTGTCCTCCCACTTCTACACCCTCATTCCCCACAACTTCGGCCGCAGCCGGCCCCCGCCCATCAACTCCCTGGAGCTCCTGCGGGCCAAGAAGGACATGCTGCTGGTGAGGCCGGGAGGGGCGGGGGGACCAGACAGGAGGGGGCAGGTGGCCCAGCAGGCAGCCATGGACTGGGATGGGCAGGCCAGTGGACAGAGGGCTGGGTGGGTGAGCAGGTGGACAGACGTGCGGGATGGCCACGGTCCCAGTCGTGTGGGAGGAGAGGGGGGCAGGAGGTCACGTGGATGAGCCCCTGGTACGTCACCTTAGGTGCTGGCGGACATCGAGCTGGCCCAGACCCTGCAGGCAGCCCCCGAGGAGGAGGAGAAGGTGGAGGAGGTGCCGCACCCCCTGGACCGAGACTACCAGCTCCTCAGGTGCCAGCTCCAGCTGCTGGACCCAGAGGCGCCTGAGTACAAGGTGGGCTGGGCCTCGTGGAGCAGCCGGGCTAACTGTGGCACCGTCCCTCTGCCCACTGGCCACGGTCCCTTGCCCTTGGCCTTCCTCCCCATGTCTCTAGGGCTTGAGCTCTGAGAGCCCCGCCACTGGGGGACCAGTCGGGGTTCACCCATACCTCTGGCCCTTGGCACCCCACTCCCGCTCTCCCCCAGGTGATCCACACCTACTTGAAGCAGACCGGCAGCAGCTACAGGAGCCCAGTGCTACGGCACGCTTGGAAAGTGAACCGAGGCGGGGAGGTGAGGGAGCCCCCGAAGCCCTCCCCAGCCCTGCCCTGACCGGGGAGATGGTGTCCTGGCTTAGGTGTCCCTGACTGAATCATCTTAGCCACTGTGACCCGTTTCCACCGGGCCTGGGCTTGTGGGTGTGTGCATGAGGGTGTGAGTGCCCAGGGGGACCCAGGCCTCAGTCGGACCCCCGAGCCGGTGGGCACGGCTCTCCTGTTCCACACCCCCCACCCCAGGGAGACAGGTTCCAGGCCCACTCCATGCTGGGCAACCGCAGGCTTCTGTGGCACGGCACCAACGTGGCCGTGGTGGCCGCCATCCTCACCAGCGGGCTGCGCATCATGCCGCACTCCGGCGGCCGCGTGGGCAAGGGCATCTACTTCGCCTCGGAGAACAGCAAGTCAGCCGGCTACGGTGAGGCGCCCTCAGCCCAGCCCTGGCAGCCATGGGGAGGTGGCAGAGGCCCGAGGCTGCAGGCGGGCGGTGCCCTCACCAGGCCATGGGGATGGGCACCCAGGCCAGGACGGTGGAGTGGGGAGGAGAGAGTCCGTGAGGGACACGCAGGAGGGGGTAGCAGCTGTGGGAAAGGGCCCCAGGGGTCTCTAGTGACCCGCAAGTTCCTATCCAGAGGTGTCTTCACGGGGGGACCTCAGCCAGGCTGACGCCGGCATTGGAACCACCCACCACCCACCACCCACCCGACAGCCAGGCCCAGGGCATGTGGGGAGAAGTTCTGGGAGGTGTGAGGTGGCCAAGGCCAGGGCCCAGGGGTCGGGCAGGGGGCAGAGGAGCCTAAGGAGGGGTCGGGGTGGCCGCAGGGGCGGTGCCGTGGTCCCAGGCCAGGGGTGAAGGGTGCGAGTGGCAGAGCAGCTAGGGAGAAAAGCCCCCACCGCGTCTGTCCCTGGGAGGCCATGGCCAACCTCGGTGAGGGCAGCCGGGGGGTGAGGCCTGGCCCCGGGGCCCAGGAGTGGGGGGAATGGGAGGGAGCGTGGCCAGAACGAGGGGTGCTTTAAGGAGGAAGCGTGGGCAGCCTTTTGTGCTGGGGCCCAGGGAGAGGAGGTTCGCATGCAGCAGTGAGGGGCCCAGGGAGTCAGGCGGGGGCCCAGCTGCCCAGCCTGAGCCGCCATGTCCCCCAGTTACCACCATGTCATGTGGGGCCCACTGCATCGCCTACATGTTCCTGGGGGAGGTGGCCTTGGGCAGAGAGCACCACATCACGGCTGATGACCACAGCTTGAAGAAGCCACCCCCCGGCTTCGACAGCGTCGTCGCCCGAGGCCACACAGAGCCTGGTGAGTCCCAGGCCTCAGAGGCTGCGCAGGCCTGGGAGGGAGAGGGGGCGCGGAGGCCAGGGCCCAGGATGCTTTCAGGAGGAGGCAGTAGAGAAGGGGCTGGGAGCAGCAGGCTTCCTCCCTGCAGCCATTCCCTTTGTCATCCAACAATCATCCTGGGTATCCAGGAGGGCTTCAAAGAGGAGGTGTCATTGACTGAGCATCAAAAGATGAGTAGGTGGCCCTAGCCAGTGGCTAGAGCATTGGCCTGCGGACTGAAGGGTCCCAGGTTCGATTCCCAGCAAGGGCACATGCCCGAGTTGCAGGCTCAATGGTGTTCCTATTTCTCCCTCTCCCTCTCCTTTCTTCTCTGAAATCAATAAAAACATTAAAAAATTAAAAATTAAAAAGAGATGAGTAGGTGTCTCCCAGGCAAAGGAATGGAGGGGGATGACTCAGGCAGAAGGCGCGGCCTGTGCCGTGGTTTGGAGGTGGGCAGGGCGGGAAGTGTGCGCATTCCCCGTGGCAGAAGAGGAGAGCATAGTGGCCGAACGTACCCTGGAGGCCAAGGACCCTCAGGTCACCCCTGGCCCTTGCTGTGTACGCAGATCCCACCCAGGACACGGAGCTGGAGCTGGATGGCCGGCGAGTGGCTGTGCCCCAGGGCCAGCCCAAGCCCTGCCCCGAGTTCAGCCATTCCTCCTTCTCCCAGAGCGAGTACCTCATCTACCAGGAGAGCCAGTGCCGCCTGCGGTACCTGCTGGAGGTGGGCCTCTGAGAGCCACCCTCACCCAGGCCCTGCTGGGGAGAGACTGCCGTCTGTCTTCTCGTCCAGACCCGGCCCCCATGTCACCGCTTCTCTCTCCCAAATCTCCCTTCTGTGTCCCAGGCAGTGGTCCCCGCCCCCTCCAATCCCCACTGCCCTGGCCTGGCTGTGACCCCGAGTCTCGCCTGCTAAAGTGACGTTAGTGAGGGACTGGCGTTATCCCTGGGTCACAATGCCCCAGCCTCTTCAGGGCTGTGTCGTTAGAGGGGCACAGGCTGAGGGTGTCAGACCCCTTACCCGCCCGGGCCGTCCACCCAGGCCCAGCCTGTCCATCCCAGAGGTGTGACCGCCAGTGGAGGCTGGACAGTAGGCAGCAAGTTTATTAAACACTGTCCGCTCACCCCAGGTCCCGACTGTCTGTGCTGCGGCCACACAAGCCTGGGCCCCCTTCCTCTCCACAGTGAACCCCCACCCCAGCCCACAGCAGCTTGGGCTTCACCCACCCTGGTCCATCTGTGTCCGTCACTGCAACCACCCGCCGCCCCTGATCACTGAGCTTTCAAAGGCGACCCTCACCGTCCACTCAGACCTGGCGGCCACCTGGGGACCCACCTGGGGGTCTGTCCGCTGCCCGCACGTGGCCAGGCAAACCCGGCATCGCTCCTGGCTCGGCATCAACGTGTCTCAGATCTGCATGTTCTAAACCAGCTGAGCACACACCGAGCGCCCAGCTCTGCCACCGGGAACGATGCCCGTTAGCACCGGGGGTCACCCTACCCAGACCCGAGGGTGCGGGTGCTGTGTCGGCTCCTCCAGCTCCAATCCAACACCACAGGGTCCCTTCCTTCTCCCCAGCCCCATACTCACACCTGCTTCTCTAACAGTACGCACCTCCGTTTCCGTCAGCATCAGTCCATTTACTTGTTGGCTCCATCCCACCCGAAAAGGAGATGCAGAACCGCCATGCCATGCCACCTTGAGCACACTTTCTGAGCGGGGCTCCCGCTCTTCACGGTTATTATTTTGTCTTTAGATGAGCAGTGAGTTTGAAACAGGTGTTTCACATGTTGCTGGGATTAGTTACTTAGTGTTTCCTTTCGGTGTGGTTATGCCATTCATTTGAAATGCAGGTAGGTTCCTTTGTTCTGCTGATACAGTGGGGCCTTGACTTACGAGTGTCCCGACTAACGAGTTTTTTGAGATACCAGCTGTCTCAAGGGCCGATTTTTTGTATTGAGTTGATAGAGTAATTTGAGTTAACGAGCTCCTTAACAAGCTATGTCTCAGAACGAATTAAACTCATAAATCAAGGCCCCACTGTATTCACCTTTGGGCGGGCTTTTCCTCATCTTCACTGGCTTATTTTTTCCAACACACAGAACATTAACATAGTCCCAATTGCATAGTCCCCAGAAGTCTAATCTATACAAAAACAGGAGCTCAGAAGAGTCACCCCCGGGCCCTGCATCCCGACCACCTGCTGCGGGAAGCCAGCTTCTGGCTTAGCCTTTTGGCAAATTAAAAAGCAACAGTTACACTACAGTTTCAAGTTTAGTTGAATGACTTTGGAGGAGCAGGCACGCTCCAGCCCCCCATGGTCCCCATCCCTCCTAGGCCGCCGCCCCCTCGTTTTCTTTGCGCTGTTCCTGCCAGGCCTGCTGAGCCCGGTCCAGGCCCGGGTGGCTCAGCGCTGCCCCAGGCCTGCAGGCCTCACTGAGCAGGGAGACCAATGCCTTCTCTTCCCTCTGAAAGGAAACCTCAGAATTCCAGCTTCGCCTCCTGGAGGTGAACGCCCACACTCCAGCTGTGGACGCAGCTCGGGAAGCAGAGAACCTGGCTTCCAGGTACCACTCAGCTGGGTGATGGGGGACACATTCCTTCCCTGACCCGGCATCAGCTTACTGTCTGAATAATGGAGAACTGGGCTGGGCCCTTTAAACCCCAGCAGAGAGGGCGTCCAACCTGGGGGTCCATGCCCTAGTCTCCGCCGCCTACATCTGTCCCGATGCTGACCGTGTGCCCGTGAGGGGTCCCAGGGGCGCAAGCGTGAGCAAGATGCAGACAAGGTCCCTGCTCTCCCGGGACTCACACTCCCGTAAAACAGGCTCCACACAAGCACACGCGCAGATAAGAAGCTCAGTATCAGGCGGGCAAAGAGCCAGGAAGGAAAGCAAAGCAGGGCAAAGGCGCGGTGATGGGAAGGGGAAGCGATCCCAGGGGAGACGGGCAGTCGCCAAAGGCCTCTCTCAAGCAGAGACCTGGGTGCGGTGAGGGGCGAGCCGTGGGCAGATCCGAGGGAAGGGTGTGCTGAGCTGGAACCCAGTCTGACACATGAGGACCCGCAAGAGGACGGCTCGGGTGGGGAGTAGGGTAGGCGAGGAGGGGTGAGGTCACAGAGAGGGGATGCTGTTCTGAGGACAGGAAGCTCCTGGGGGGCTGCGAGAGGGTCATGGCCTGATGTGACCTGTTAGAGCAGCGGTTCTCAACCTTCCTAATGCCGCGGCCTTTTCATACAGTTCCTCATGTTGTGGTGACCCCCAACCATAAAATTATTTTCGTTGCTACTTCATAACTGTAATTTTGCTGCTGTTATGAATCGTAATGTAAATATCTGATATGCAGGATGTATTTTCATTGTTAGAAATTGAACATAATTAAAGCATAGTGATTAATCACAAAAACAATATGTAATTATATATTCAATATGTGTTTTCCGATGGTCTTAGGCGACCCCTATGAAAGGGTCGTTCGACTGCCAAAGGGGTCGCGACCCACAGATTGAGAACCGCTGTTAGAGGGACCCGCTTCAGCCTCTGTGCAGAGAGTGGACTGCAGGGCGGGTGTCAGTCAGCAAAGCAGAAACCACTCTCGGAATCCCAGACAAGAGGAATCAGATCCAGGAAAGGAACGGAACTCACAGGGGACGGCGAGGCCACCCAACGATGAGCAACCGTGGAAGCTGCTACCACTCTGAGGTTGGATCGATCCCGGAGGGAAATGGTATCCCACTGCCCAGGGACCAGGGCCACCCGCAGGTGCCAGAACCACAGAGAGGGCTGCCTGAAGGAGCGAGGTGGAGAGGCCCGGCAGAGCCAGAGCCCGAGAGAGGAGTACGCTGGCTCCTCCCGCCTCCCACCCTCCACTGTCCTGCTCTGGACTCCAGCTCCTGCCTGCTCTGGGCCCCTCACAGCACAGCCTCCAGCCTGCAGCTGGCAGCTGCTAGGACCAGGGGGCTGGTGCCAGGCCCTGCCCCTCCCTTGCCAACTCCGCGTCTGTGAAGGGCCACATCAGAGTGACAGCCAGTACCATCTCCAGCAGGGGCTGAGCTGCTGGGGCAGCGGAGAGAGCCACAGTCCCAGCCTTGCACCCCTCCATGGGGCTGGCCAAACCCCCGAGAGGATGGGGGCCTGGGCAGCGGAGCCAGAGCCTGGGCAGCCTATGAGGTGAGCAGCCAGAGGGGCAAGAGGCGGGTGATGGGAATGGGGGGAGGGGGCCCTCCCATTTCGCTCTCTGCATCCCCACTCAGGGTGAAGCCTGAGCGCTGGATGGCCAACACCACCGGGCTCCTCCAGGCCACCGAAGTCGCAGGCTCCATGGGGTTGATCCTGGCGGCCATCGTGGAGGCAGCGGCCCTGCTGGGCAACGGCGCGCTGCTGGTGGTGGTGCTGCGCACGCCGGGCCTGCAGGAGGCCCTCTT